ATTATATGAGGAAAAGAGTGTCAAATCTAAAAAATTCAAGTAAAAAACTCTTCGTTCATCACTTTTTCTATAGTAAGTTTTGGAAGTTAAAAGGTTGAAGAATTAATAAGGATTAGTTCTCGCCATTACCAACTTTTAATTAGTCACCATAAATCAATAATTAAATTTAAAAAAACAAAAAAAAATTAATTAATTTTTTTTTCACCCATAATTTATTTTAATATAAACAAATTATAAATAACATTTAAAATATTTCATTAAGTTATAAAGACTTGTCAAATGCTTTAATTTGAAATGTCAAAACAAGTGTAGATCCATTATAAAAGAAAATTTTAATGGAGAATCAACAACAAAGAAAATAGAAGTTAAGAGTTAAAAAACATTCGGTTATCATGTTCTTAGAGTAAAAACAAATATCTAGGTATTGTTATTATTTTTTTAGTGAAAAAAATTAAACAATGTAAAAATTAATTTGATGTGACTCTATTATCTTAGTTGATTCAAAGACAACTTAAATAATCAGTAAAAATATAATTTAATTCAAAATAAATATTTAAAATGATATCTTTTTAATAAACATTGAAACAACAATATATTGGATTGATGCAGGTCAACCCATCAATCCACATACCAAGTTATGAGATTATGATAACCCCATAAAAAAATTAAAATAAATTATGAAACATAATTTTTAACAAACCAATGTTAAAGGATGAAATTGAGAAAAAACAAATAAAAAAAGAAAAAAAAATCCAAGTCAACCTTGATTAACCTGTCAAACCTAAAACTCGAGTTATGAGATTAGAATAATCTAATAAAAAAATTAAATTAAATTATTAAGTACAATTCTCAATTGACTTGGTGTTAAAAAATAAAATTAAAAAAACATTAATAATAACTCGAGTCAACTTCAGTTAATTCATCAAACATATGACTCGAGCTATAAGATGATAATAACCTTATAAAAATAAATCAAAACTAAATTAAAAAGTTTAATTTTTAATTAATAAACAAAAATAAAAAACAAAAAAAAACAAAGAAATTAATAATGTTACGTGAGTAGGGGTGGTGTAAAACCCCCCTCCCCATTGTTAATATTTAATATTCAAACAGGCGCTAACTAGGACGTGGATGGAGGGGTGATATTTTTTTTAGGAAAATTTGATAAAACCAAAAACATTTAGGACTGAAATGATAATAGGATAATGTCTAAATTTCAAGTTCCCCATGGTAACAATCGCCAAATCGCAACGCTAGTTTTAGTTGTGGGTCCCACAAATCCAACGGTTCCCTGCCATTAATCGCATGAATATTATTTAGAGTAGACTTTATTTATTTATTACTATAAATCCTTTAACGGTCACCAACATAGACAAACACTTGCTCCACCACCTTTCGACCTCAGACTCTGCATTAACGGTCACATTTCTTACACCATCTCTTACATCCGTCACAGTTTTTTTAGTTCTTTATCTCTCTCTCTAGGACCCTTCCTCTCCTCAGCTGTACTAATTTTGCTCCATTTCTGGGCCTCACTCTTTTTTTTTTCTTCTCTGCAATGGAACCAGAAAAAATAGATTGGAAGAGAATAGACTCTGTCTTTGTAGAAGATAGATTGTATGAGAACGTAAATGCACCCAGATGGTTTGATTTCTTTGCTCCTGAAGATTCCATAGATGATGAAGCCTGGTTTTGCAGACCTGGTATGCACTCCTTCAAATACCTGACAAGTTTTTTTCCCCATGTTTTTCTTAGTCTCTCTCATGTTTTACTGTCTCCCTGTTGCAGATTGTAACCATCCAAAGACAGCTGAGGATTTCTTTAAAACCACACCAACTTCTAAGGTTTTTTTCCCCTTAATTTCAAAGTCTCCAACCTTTTTTTTCTTCATTTACCTATGTTTGTACTAGATAAATAGCAACCAATTTAGCTCATCTGTGATTGAGGTTAAATCTTGCATTTCTTTATTTAATCTGAAAAAAATATTAATTATGAGTCTCAAATCTTCTTTCCTAGTCCCTTGTTTTTCTCAGTTACCAAAAAGTTCAATTAATTGAAAGTTACTTGACTCTTTTTTGGTTGAATTGTTCTGGATCAGTTTTCAAGCTCAGGTGACAAAGCTAGAAGTAGAACCCCTCTCAGCGAGAAGAATCGAAGGTACTCACAAAGCAAACCCGCGTGAAGTTTTAAATTTTCTATCATTTCAAGTTTTTCCTTATTTAACAAGAAAGAGTTCAATATTCAAGCAACTGTCTTAAAAGTTCTCTTCTTTTTTTCTCTGGGTTTAGAGATGCAAAATCGAAGAGAAGGGAGCAAAGTCAGTCTTCATTTACATCATACAATTACAAAGTTAGATTCAATCAGGATAGCGAAAATCGGGATCCAAATTTGTCAACACCAACGAATCACCATGAGTCTACGAAAGAAATGATCAAGTCAAGCAGTGAGAATAATAAACCTGTGGATGATGTACCACAAGCCAGGGAGGCACCACGGCTAAAAAGCACGTTATCGGCAAGGAATTTGTTTGCCGGGAAAGATAAATTAGGTCATATTACTGAGTTTTGCAGTGAATTGAAGAAGATGGCGACGAGAGCGTGGGAAAAAGAGAGTTTGAATCAGAGGGAGAGTCAAGTGGGGGAGAAGAAAGATGGGGTGTTCGTGAGTGAGGGTTCTAGAGAGGTTTTAAGAGAGTTGAATGTGAAGGAGAAAGAGAGCAAACCATTGCTTGAAAAGGATGGAGAGAAATCCGGAGGAAATGAGAAAGGAAGTGTCAAAGAGAAGCAATGGAAGAAGAAGTAAGTTATTTCTCTCTATGCTAGTCCTTTTCAATTTGTACATAAGCAGTTAGCTTGAATTGTGTAGAGGAGGATCTTAGTTTTGAAATTTCAAGGATTATGGTTCTTGTTTTTTTAATATTTGGGGTAGATTTGAATTGATTAAGGTTTACCCATATAATTTTGTGTCATTGCAACAAATTAAAGTGGGTTTTCTCAGATTAAAGTGAGGTGTAGTGGCCAAAAGAACTTGTGCAAAGTTCATTTATTATGGCTGTTGACTCGTGGATTCTTCCCAGAGCTTAAAGATTTCCATCGAACATAAACAGATGGCTTAAAGCCTGACTTGCACTCTTTTGTCCTAAACTAACTAATACTTGGATGTTATTCAAGTGTGTATACATGTTCAGCACGGGCGATTTGAGAGTGAACTTGTAAAGATTTGTGATTGACATCCGACTATTCTATGAAGATATTTCAAGGTGCTAAACTTTAATTGTTGAATTGCGCAGAAGAGATGATGATGCAGAAAACATACCGGTACCTTTGAATTTGGCAAATGTGAAGAACAAAGGAGAGGAGCGGTTGTTGCAAATTAGGACCAATCCGCCTTCACCTCAATGCTTTTCTGCCAATCGTGCACCCACCAAAACTACTACCCCTTCAAAGGCTTCCAGGTCCAGGCTTACGGTATGCGATGCAACTGTTTTCATACTTGGTATTGAACTTTTTGTTGTAGGGGTTTAAGGGGGAAGTTAATAATGATATTGACAAACATGGAAAACGATAGAGTTTGACTGCAGGTTTGTGCATTGAATCAGATATATTGCTTGTTTCTTCTTACTAGTCTCCTTTTTTGCATCAAGTAAAATGAGAGGAATGTCAAGGATAAACATTAGGCTAGAATTTGTTTAACAACTACTGAACTGATAGGCATTAATAAATGTAATGAATATGCAAATTGAATGCTTCCCAGCACTTCTATTGGGGATTCGTTCACTGCAATAGTCACTAAATTTCGAACAAACATGTTGATTTCGCCATTTAACACGATGTATGGATGTATGCACCTATGGAACCATAATTAAAATATGGATGTATGGATGTATGCACCTATGGATTCTCAGTTAATTTGGAACGTATCATCATTCCCCTAAGGACAGCAACTCTTCGCTTAGGCCAGACTAAAACCTCTGTTGTATTCTTCCACACTATCCACATTGAGATTCAAGCACGTTTGGTCCTACCTTCATCGTAGTCCTATATTGTTTGTATAATCTAGTGCTGAAGTCCTAACTGCACTTTTTTGTTAATTTGATTCAGTAGTTGTCTCACTAGTGTATTATGATTTTTCGGTTAGAAAAGAAGGAACAGTGCACTTGCTAATTTGCATTGTAGCTAAGACGTGTAACTAGCTAAGTCTATGTAGGTAAGGGGGATGCTTGAAGAATTGGAGGATAAGGAGATCACAAAGGAGGAAACTGACGGCAAAGGCAGAAGTATTTTTACTGCCGATGGAAGAGAATCAAGAGTTTTGGATGTTTTCTGGTTCCTAAAGCCCTGCACGCACTCCAGCTGAAATGTGGAACCCCCGCTCCCTCTCCAGCTAATCCAAAATTCATTGTTTTAAAGATTTTTTTTTCTTTAGCCCAGCTGAAACTCGTCATTACACCTTGTTTTTTTGTTATCCATACAACACCTCACATTCTTTAATTCTTGTTCCTTGCTTGATCTGATTCATTCGATGTCAATAAGAGAAAAGTATAAGAAGCAAATTCAAATTCATTACAGCAGATAAAATTTGTATTTTTGAACTCCCAAGACATACGAGTGATGCAAAACGCACCATTGGTTCGTATTATTTGGGGTTGTTGCTCTTCCATGGCTATGCTTGCCAAGATGACTTATTTAAGCATTTCATTATCCATCAAGAAAGAAAGAAGGAAGAGGGTATAAACACCAAGCAGCAGATTGACGCATTTTTGTTGTTTACATATGAAGACAGAAGAATTTCACAAATGTTATACGGCAGAACAATAATTCAATGATCAGTCCCACGAGTTGCGTGTCTTTCAAACTAGCATGAGAACAAAAAAGATGAAACAACGACACATAAAAGCACCATTCCTTGTTGGTGTTGGTTAAGCTTGAGCACCGGATTTGCAGAAAACTTCACATTTTGGAAAGGATGGACACTGGTGGGTTTTTTTTTTTTTTTCCCTCATCTTCGGAGGCAGCTTTCATAGGACATACTGTTTCTTATATCTTTATCAATTACAGAGTGTCTATTAAAAGAATCAGCTGGGAGTCCTTTGTGTCATCTCAAATCATGCCTAACCACCTCTCCTGTGAAAATCTTTCGGTGCTAAGGTCTTTCTGTATGTGTCTCTCTTCCTTGCGTATATACTACGAGTTTAGCTCTTGAACATGATCGACTGCACAGTTTGCAATAATGGCTAAACCCCAAACCTTGCCATCCGATTTTAGACATACCGATGTAAAAGCTGCCGTGTTTTTTGTCCTAACAAAAAAGAAACCCACGGACATCAATTGCGTTCTCTCTTTGTTTTTGTCTTCGCTTCTGTTTTGGATGGATTGCAAATATAACTTACACGCTAACCAGTAACCACTCCCTCATTTTATATTTGGTTCTTCGTCTCCCAGAACATTATTGCGTTCATCCCAATTCCCAGTTTCGATGATTTTATAATGGGAAAGAAGATGTCTCCATTTTTATCCCCTCCTTCGGAAATTAATGTGCTTGCAAATGACTTTCTTTTTCTTCTTCTTTTTAGCAAGAGTCAGATGAAAGTTTTGAAAAATTAACAAAGATTGCCCTAGAGAACAAACCCAAAATCCCGAATTCTGCTTCATGTTGACTGATAACAAAAGGCAAACCCCATCTCCAAAACCTTACTCTTCACATGGACAAGGAACCCAGGAAGGGAGAAAACCATCCTTTATTTACTCTTAATTTATATAGCATCCTTATAACAATCCTCAAGCTTTTCTCTATAATTCGTAATCCCGCACAAAATCATAAACACATCCAACAAAATTAAAATTAAAGTAACAACAACTTATTGCAATCTACATCAGTTCTAAGACCATAAAAATAAAGCAGATAAGAAGAAGGATGTACATGAACACCCTCTTCTACCCTAGCCTGAAATTGCAAAGCAAGATATCCAAGAACCTAGACCACGCGTGCCTTGCACGAGGATAGAGTCTCGTGGTATAAACTCTTGACTCCCTTAACAGACCTTCCATGGTTTCCACAAAGAGATTCAAGCTCCTCATAGGTGGAATGTACAAAGTCAAAGGCACCGCAGAGAAAGCCACCGTAAAGAAAAGCTGCAACATCTTAAAGCCAAAGCCACCAAAAGAGTTGTTTTTTTAAAAAAGCCAAACTATACACGGCTCTCGGTTATTGATACAAATATTTGGAGTTCCAAAGACAAGAGGGAGAGAGGTTTGAGCTCTTTGGATTTCTTGGTAGATCTTGTGCAAGTTTTGAGGGTGGAAGGATTTTGAGATTTTGGAGGGTTTGTAGATTTGCAGAACTCTTTATTGCAGGAGGGTCAAGGAAAGAGAGAGATCGGACAGAAGGGAAGTTCTGGAAATCTAAAGAAGTTCAAAGATTGAAATGTTCTTGCCTCTACAAGATAACGACAAAATAAACAAGAAACTTGAAGAAAAAAATAGAACAGCACGGGTACAAGTGCAGGACTAGTAGTTGGGCTGGGTGTGGAGGGCTGACTTTTAATTGTATTTTTGACTTTTCCTTTTTTGGTTTTTATCCTAATTCATCAAGTTTTTCCTGGTTATGACTTTGAACAGTGGATTGTTCATAGTTTTATTTTTGTCTGGTAGTAGCAGTACTGATCAAATTTCAGATTTAATTCAAATCTGATGATGATGATTTTGTTATTTTTTTTTATTAATATGTGGTTTGAAATAGTTTGAATGTATTTTAATTAATTTTAAAATTAATAATTATATAAATTTTTAATAATTTTAAAATTTATATAATTCAAATCGGTGATATATCCAAAACAAATTTATAAATAATATTATCATAAATATGAGCGACACGAATGATATGATATGATAAATTAATAATAGATAAAAAATTATTTTTATATTAAAAAATATTAAATTAAATTTTTATATTAAAAATTAGATGTATGCCAAAAAAACCATTCCTCTAAAGGACTGGAAGAGCATTTCCATCAACCATTCTGTACTGCTTGAGGAGTGGCAGTATGAACTTATGGAGTGGCGACATCATTCCCCCCTTCCATCGTCCATTCTAAATTCAGTTTTGACCGGTGGATTGGTTGGTAGGAAGGAGAGCAGCCTTGTTTGTTGTACACGTACTTGAGTATCCACAGGTGGCCCGTGCTCTACCACATATCGGACCAAATTGTTTTTAAATATATAAAAAGATAAAATTGTTAAGAGCATATAGAATTTCTTGATAATATTACTTAACCTAGCCAAGCAGGTACTTAGCAATTCGTTCAATTTAATTTTTAATTCAATTATATAGAAGCTATTCCGACTTAAATTAATTGATTTGATTAATTTAAGTATAATTTTAATAACTAATAAAAACATAATTTAATTTTAAAAAATCTTCAATATAATAATTTTAAAAAATATTAATTTAACAACTGAAAAAGCAAAACATTATTTGTATGATTCCCCTTTTACCCTTTAGTTTTTGTTAATTAATAATAATAATAATAATAAGAGAGAGTTTTTTGGGTTGTATTTAAAATTGTCGAATACAACTAAAAAAAATTGAATGTAATAAACCAAATAAAATAAATTATTGATTTCATTGCAAGAGATATATTAACCCTCATTTGGGAGTACAACCCAAACAGAGGTTTACTAAAATATAATATTTTTATTTAAAATTAATTTTTTATATTTTTGGTTCGTTTTGATATGCTGATATAAAAAATATTTTAAAAAATAATCATAATTATAATCTCAAACATCCCATTATAAAAGCAAATAAGAATGGTTTTCAATGATATATATTATAAATACAACTAAAAGACTTTGAGATAGTTTAACTATTCATATAAAATAATAAATATAAAATAATGAATCCTGACTAAAAGACTTTGAGATAGTTTAACTATTTATATAAAATAATAAATATAAAACAATGAATCCTGTTTTAGTTAAAATTTTATATATATATGTTAAAATTTTATATCAACCTTGTGTGATAATTGAATTAGTTAATGTGTAACGCTATTTAGATGAGGTCACAAGCCATTTATATTTTTTATCCTTTTTTTTATGTTTGATTTTTTTATTTTATTATTTAATATGAAAGTTTTATTTAATTTAATTTTTTAATATTAGGTTGATAGTAAATCGATTTTCATGTTTTTTTATCATACAATAAGATTAAAAAAAATCAATTCAACCTAATAGAGTCTATAATCTGATATATACGTTTTACGGGCTAACTAGACTTAACCTAACTTTTTTTTCTTTGAACTTGCTAAACTGAAAAGTTCATGTTAGGACAACATTATTACTTTAAATTTAATGATACTATAAAAAAACATTTCTATTATTTAGATAATTTTTTTTAAAGTTTTAAAATTTTTTGGCCCAACTTATTGTGATTGTGTGGACGATAAAACTAATCGTATATATAACATGTGGCATATTTAAATATGCAAGATCTAATGAAATATTATATAAATGGTAGTTGTAATATAACATGATGTGTTCAATTGGATGAGGGAGGTGATGATGTGGATGACATTGATACGGACATGAAGGATTTGGTTGTTAATGATGTTGATATAAAGATTCCTTACAAGAAGTTACAATTTGTTTATTTTTCTTTTCAAAGTAGCATAAAACATAAAATTAAAAAATTAAAAAAATAATATATTTTAATAAACAACTACTAATAAAATAAACAATGTCTTAAACAAGTGCTATTATTATTAGTATTTGTATTAAACAACACTAATAACAATAATGATTTTTTAAACATCAATGTATTCATTGTACACTTCAATTGATTCCAGCAACAATGGTAATTCATAAATTCTAATTCATTTTTTGTTTAGAATATATTCTTAATAAAATGTATTAAAAAAAAGGGATATAAGAAGAAGGTTGGGAACTTCACTAGAAAAAAAAAATCTCTTTATATATCTTTTTTTTTCTTAATATTAAATATTTTTTGTTGAATAATTATCAACTTCACTCGTTGTTGACTGAAATTAAAATTGAAAAAATAAAACATGAGAAAAAAATTAAAAAAGAAGGAAAATTTAATAGAAAAAAGAAAGGAAAAAATTTCCAACTTTCAAAACATATAGAAAAAAACAAAAGGGAAATTGAAAAACATAATTTACAAGGAAAAATGGCAATATAATCTAGCAACTTTATCAGCTCATAAAGCAACATTTAATTTTAAAAAACCATGTAATGGCTTCACAATTATAGCCTTGTCTCACCTAACATTTTTAATCCAACAAAGGCCTTATCATCTTCGATTTTTTTTTTTTTTTGTATAAAAGCCCACAAGACAAAGCCCTTTAACGATAGAAAAAGAGGATGACGTTGTTAGGCTCTCAAAGAGAAGCGGATGGTACTAGAAGAATAATCTTTACATAAAACAAAAGCAGTTTCTTTGATACCCTAAATCATGCAAAATTTTCTCTAGTTTATATCTTTGTTATGTCCATTAAAAGTTAATTTGGTGGTTGAAGTTTATTAAATAGTTAATTTGCGAGGCAAGAACTTTCACTGGTTTACAGGTTTAAGCATGATTTTGTATTTTTGTGCTAAAATGTTGACAGATATATGTTATAGTAGACTAAAATATTTTTTTTATTGATATAAACACGATTTAAAATTACAATTCTCTTCAAATTATGCTATTTTTTCTAAAAAAAATTAAATTAAATCTTTTTAAAATACTTTGTTATAACAGTTGCATTTTGTTTTTTTTTTAAATCAAACTTACAAGTGAAAATAATCGGAGTACTAATGGGTACCAAATTATTGATGAAGATAATTTTAAAAATTATTGTACTATGACATTAACGAAGAAACAAAAAAGAATGTGGGATATGATAGTGCATTAGAAATTGAAGAAGCTGCATTGATAAAATCATCAATATAAATTGAAGAAGTTGCATTGATAAAATCATCAATATGATTGATCCCTTCATCCAAATACGTTAACTTGAAATGCTAAATTTGAATTAAAATGACTTATAGGACAATAGGACATGTGCTTGTGATTTATTGCATACAGACACTCTCTAGTCAATTGGTAGTTATTTCCTCAAAATTAATCAATGAAATACAAGTGCTTGTTTTATAAATCACTTTAATTAAAATTTAATGTTTCAAGTTAACAAATTTGGACGGAGGGATCAATTTTATCTCTGAACCAAAATCTTAAAGATCCAATTATATTTATTAGAATTACTGGTTTTTATTTGCAAAAAATGCAATTCCTCAAAATAAAAAGTGTCATTTAACCATTTTTATTTTTTAAATATATTCTAAATAATTTGATGGAACAAGAGTAGCCAAATGTAGCTACAATTCTAGAGAATCTCATGATAAGAATGACTAAAGTTGTAACTCAAAACTATGTCCATACCTTAATAGTAATTTATGATATTGTTATAGTATAAATTTGTAACAACCCCAATTTTTCTACATTCTTTTTTGCAATATATTGGAAATTTTCAGGTAAATGTTTTTAGACAAGTTCCACTAAAATTTCAGCAAAGTCTTTCCTATATTGATAGGTCCCAAGTTATCAACATATACTCTATTTACACTTCTAATATCTCACATCTCATAATTCAAAATCACAACCCAATCATTTTAGGTCTCAACCCAACTTATTATCATCAACACAACATCTTATTCAATAATATCATATAATGTAGTTCAAATGAAATATTCAATTTCAACTATAAACATGCATGGTCAAATAGGTACTAAGAGTTTCAATCATTAGATTAAAGACATACATTCAAATTTACGGATTAATATTACATCTCAAGTTTTAAGAGATAAGTCTTTTAATTTACAAATAATTTACATGGTTAAAAGTAAAAGATAACTAAACTAGTATTTCCCTTGACGTGACCCTGATGGACCTGGAAATAGAAATTAACATGTACACATAAATATAAAAGATAGTAACAAGCAATAACAATGGCAGACAATAGTCTATACGAAATTTCTTTTGATACATAACATTAGGCATAAACCTTTTTTACAACATATATTTTCCATCTATTGATAATATCCAATCTCATTTGCCAAGAATAATTCTATCTTGAAAATCTCAACACAACTCAAACGGTTTGCAAACATCATCTCCTTATAAATCAATTCTCACTTGATACTAAGATATTTCTCTTTTGGTATCATTAGTTTATCTCATTCTTTTGGAATAATCAATCAATATTTTTCCTTTTCTGAATTTGTTGTTAGAAGGTAATCACCGAAATTAATAAATCTCATTAGTATCATTAGTCTTCTAATATTGGGCTAGACTAATCAATTTAAGGAATACCGGCACCGATGAAACTTCATCGATACCATTAGCAATCCAAACCTGGATAGCTAATCAATGTCATTTGATTCTTCCATTCATACCGAACCCCTTTCATTTTTCTTATTAACATCATATGCATTGTAACCACGGTTGCCAAGTATCATAAACAA